ATGACAATCTGGAACAAGGGGTACATTGTAGGGTAGGCTGGGGATGGCGGAAAAGGGAAGAAAATGTGCAATAATGAAAAAAATTATATCTATCCCCAGATTGCCCTTCTGAAAATCTGTGTCAGCTCACACTACCACACACTAGCACAGCAGAAATGTCATTGCCCAGGTCCTGTCCAATTTTAGGTATTGTCAATCTTTTAATGTCTCTCAATAAGGTAAACAAAACAAAATGCTACTTTGCACTTCACTTCGGAATTTTTTTTTTTATTATTAACTAGGTTGGTAACTTTTAACATAATTATTGTCCACTTGTATTTCTCATTTTACCTATTTAGACCTTTGCCTATCCTTCAGCTATTCATTCTTTTAGGCATCATGCTGGGGAAGGGAGAGGGTCAGAGAAAGAGGGGGAAAGCTTCAACAAGAAGGGCTGACACAGTGACTAACGGGCTCCAGCATGTCAGAGAGGATGAGGGTGAGGCCGGGGGAGGATGAGGTAGCACGAAGTGCAGATCTGTTGGTCCTAGCGTCGCTATGAATCTTACTCAGCTTGATGACACCTAAACAACAGCATTAATTCTTTTTCAACTATCCATTTTTCTGTTACCTTTGATGCTGCTGACTTTTCCTATTCAGAAAGGTCAACATGTTTATGTTGTTAAATCACTGGTCTTTTTGCCATGATTTTTCCTTTTATAGCCCTGTCTAACTTACAATGTGGGCTCTCACAGGACGACTGTTAATGGATCGTACTTAGAAAGACCACATCTTAAATTTTAAATATTTGCATCTTTCCCACTCTGATGGTCATTATGCTTTATTTTTGCCTTTATACCAGTGCATCTCAAACTGGAATCACCTGGGAAAATCTTAGTGAAATGATTCTAACTCAGTAAGCTTGGAGGGGCACCTGAGAGTCTGATTTCTAGCAAGTTCCCCTGAGACACTAATGCTTCTCTTGGTCCACATTTTGAGTCAGACATTTCATCCTTTGTACCACCTGCTTCCTTTCTGTCTCTCCTGAATTTGTTTTCATTCCTACCTAGCATGAACTCCAAAAAACACTTTTTTTTAACCCAGCAGACCCAAGGTTACAAATGTCCAACTTGTATTCCAATTCCACTAATACCTTTTATGTTGTTATGTGCTGTCAAGTGGGAAGTGATTCATAGCTGACCCTCCAGCACATTTTCAGAGTCAGTAAATTGCACAGTAGGAGATTTCCCATCTTTCTTCCACGGAGCAGCTGGTGGTTCAAAACCACGTTGGCAGCACAACTCCTTATCCACTAGGCCATCAGTTCCCCCTCCTCTAAAGCCTGCTGTATTAAAAATTCAAGGGACATTCAGTTCTCCTCTGAATGTACATCAAACTACTACTCTGTGAAGCATATCAAAGCACTGACTTATAAGCAAGAACTTTGGGGCCCTCACAAGCAAGGCCAACTCCCATGGAACCAATGTGGCATTTGCAGAGAGGAAGGGCACTGGAAGAATAAGTATCTCTAGAAGAAACTAAGACTGATGACATAAGCAAATCGAGAAAGAGAGGACGTGCTTTGGAGTTCAGTTCAAGGAGAAAGAGATGAGGAACTGTAGGAAACAAATCTGTAGACTTTTTTGGTAGACATGGGGGTAGGGGGCCTCTGCTCATTTTCTCTTAACCACATTCCCCAAAAGGACTGTGTTCTTTCAAGAAAGCTCACATAGTTAGGGTTACTAGGAAAGAATTACTTGGGTTTGCTTTTTTTTTTTTTCTTTCTCACCCATCCTCAAGTACCCAGAGTCACTATTAAGGAGAGACTTTTTTAATTGCAAACTGAAATTTCCTCCCCAAAAATGTGTATGACTAATTTTAACTGTCCCAGCCCAGCAGGCATAGAAAACTCATCCAGTCACTGCTGACATTCCATTTAGCCCTGAAGTCCAGTAAGTTAAAGAGCCTTTCAAGCCCTGAGTGCGGCAAGGGGCAAGCTAGGATGAGCCTGATGAGTAATTCTGGCTGTCATTGAGCTGTTCCTAAAATTTGCTCTCGTGGATTGAGCAATGGCCTTTCCTTACTGAAGAACAAGAAGGGCTGGAAGAACTGATAAGCTGATATGTGGTGTGGGGTTAACTCCCTGTCCTCCCACTGAATGTCATTCCATATAAATCCTAATTGAGGGGCATTTGGAATTGATGGAATGGTGGGAGTGGTGGCAGCGGGGGCTAGGGAGACAGCCAATGGCCAATTTCTCTAAAAACCTGGATTCAGTCTCCAAAGACTAGGCTATTTGCTTGAAGGCCTTAACAACTTGCAGCACAATCACAAGTTTCCTCTGAATAATTTGATCACCCTCATATTTATCCTGCATGCCCTGACCATGGTTTTGGAACACAAAGTACATTTGTGGCTCATTTCTAGCTATATCGCCAGGGAGCTCTGGTGGGCTAGTCTTCTGAAAACCTGCTAGAAGGTCAGGTATGGGTCAGTTCCTACTGGATGGTGCAAAACAACAACAGTGGATAAGAGTCTTCCAGGGAGAAGATTGGCAAGTGGACTTTACTAACGTGTATCGTGAAAGAAATCACTGCCGGATTTAGTTTGCCTAGAAGTCTCAGTTGTGAAATGACTCCCATTTGGCATTTAAAAATCTCCAGAATCTCAAGGGAGGGCGAAATCTTGTTCATCTGCTTTGAACATATATTATCCTGGGGAAGGACATCACGCTTCAAAAAGTGAAGAGTCACAGAAAAAGAGGAAGCAGGGACTGGACTGTCACAAGGGCTCACGCACAACGACAATTGTGAGGATGGTGCAAGACCTGGGAGTGTTTCTGTCGTGCATGGGGTCACTGTGAGTTTACAGTGCATAATGAGAAAACAGATTAAGCAATGAGAAGTAATGTTTCCAAAATACTAGAGCGCTCTGATGACCTAGTGGGGAGGGAGTTGCACTGCCAAATTCAAGGCAGACAAGTTCGAATCCACCAGCTGTCTTCCAGGAGAACGATGGGCAATTTCCTCCCGTGCAATTTACTGCCTCTGAAAACACGCTCGAGGGTGAGCCAAGAGTAGGTTTCAACTCCACGGACACTAACAACAGAGTACTTTGAAATTCTAAACTTACGGAGACAGATAACCAGACAAACTTTCTTCCCATAAATTCCACGCGATTGCAGACTAGGGTTGGGGAGTCTGAAGCGACACGACTGTGTGCCCTTCGCTTCCACTCCTGGGGCTCCCGACTCTCCTGCTCCCGGGAGGCAGGTGGGTCGAGACACGCCTGTCTGCACCACGCAGTGAGCGGAATTCGCTGCACACTTCAGCTGAGCGCTTGCACCCCTCTCGGTGGCCAGAGCTGCCGACGAGGCAAAGACTCGTTTCCATCCTGGCCTGCTGGGAGAGGCTGAGGTTGCGAGGGGCACTCAGATCTCACCGCGCTGCCCACATCTCGAGCCACAGGGTCCCCAGATCTCAGCCACAGGGTCCTCAGATCCCAGGCGGCGTAGGAGCCAGCTCGCCCAGGTGCGAAGGCGGAGGAGACGTCCGATTCGCCAGGCTCGGCTCCGCCCCAAGAGGCCCCGCGGCAGCCGAGTGGGCCGGCATGATGTCAGTCAGGGGCCGGGGGCAGGGCCATGGCGCGCCCGCCCCCTGGCGGTGCTATAATGTCGGGCCCCGCAGGGCGGCCGCTGGCGGGTGGAGATGTGCGCCCGGGCCGGGGTGAGGTTGGGGTCGCGCGTGTCTGCGTGCAGCTGCTGCAGCTGCCGGACGGGGGTCTGGGGGCAGAGGAGCAAGCACGGGCGGAAGGGACGCTGCGGGGCTCTCAGTCAACAGTTGCATTGCTAACTTTCCCAGGTGTCTCTTCCAACTTTGATGACTTTAGGCAGCCCTGGAGCCTTAGTATCAGGGACTCTGTCCCGGGCTGGAACTGTAACGCCGCTCCCCGTCTATTCTCAGCGTGATTATTATTTTTATTCATCTCTAGAGCATGGACTTCGCGCGCCTCTGCTTAGGGCTGCTGCTGCTCCTGCTGCCTTTGGTGACTGCTTTGGATTTCAACTACCACCATCAGGAAGAGATGGAAGCGTTTCTGAAGACTGTTGTCCAAAACCACAATTCTATCACTCACTTACACAGTATTGGGAAATCCGTGAAAGGTAGGGTGCGTCTCGTGCACACTTTTCCCAGATCTTCAGTCCCTAACCCCCACCCCTGCCATTCATTAAATGTGCCTCAACTTCTGGTCCCCTATTCCTTGAAGCTGCTCGGAGGGGTTGCAACCAGGTAAACCAATGCATAGTGAGCTGATTGGTTTATGTTTGTGGTTTGGTTTGGTTTAGTTTTACAGAGGGGGTGATAATGTGAAGTGCTTTGCATCATCGAAGTTTCGTCTTTGGGGATCTTGAAAACACTGGTTGTCCGGGACCTGTGTTTTTCTTCCTTTTCGATATCATTTTCTCTTGAGGAAGCCTGTGTATCCATCTCAGGTTTCTCTTTTGTTAGCTTCTTTAAATATGACTCAGACAAATAGTACCACTTCTTCAAGTCTCCCTATAGATTAAAATAGTACAGTTCTGTTGTTAAGATTTGTGTCATTTATAATTAGTCCTGCGTTTTAACATTATGAGGGTGGGAGGCTCACACTTGATTAAAAGCTCTTTTCAAAATTTATCTGGAGAAAGAAATTGCTGGACTCTTAAATACACCTTACACTGAGTGACTGGTGCTATTCTAGCATTTTCATGTGTCATTTAATTGCTTTACTGTTGTATTTAGAAATTATATATATTAAGTAATTCTTGTTTTAAAGACAAGGCATTTGAATCACAGAGAAATTAAGTATTTTTTCCAAGATCATCCGGATGAGTTTTATACCCAGGAATGGAACTCAGATCACTGTACTTCTAGACTTGGATGTATGGGGGAAGAGCGGCAAATCACTTTATCAGATACTATTATTTATTAATCCTCTTCCCATATTGATACAACAAAGAAGTTACTAGAAAACTATACTTAAATCCAAAGTTTATGAAGTTTATGTGATTTGGACCTCGATACCATAAAAATGTGTTCAAATAATACCTGGGTTTTAACCCTGAGTTTGTTTACCCAGTTGGAAGCCTAAATACTTTTCAATTATTTTTTAAAATTATGGTCACAGCATTTATATTATAGAGAAGTATTACCTAAATGTGCTCAGGTGCAAGGCAAAATAAAAATTCTACATTGTGTGTGCAATGGTACCTTTGTTTTTAAATAACATTGCCTAAGAGTTGGTGCCAGTATTTCTCTATATTGCTCTATAATCCAAAATTAGGGAGGTTGGATGTGTGAGAAACTATGTCCTTAATCAGCATATGTACTCAACCTTTTGAAATAATTTTCCTTTAGGGCTAGGGAAGAGCAATTAAAAAAAGATCTAAGAATACTAATTATATTATTAAAGGGAATATAGAACACAACTAACTTGAGTTATTGTTCAGTCATTCAAGCCACAAGATGATGAGGATATTGTTAACTTTAAATGCCAAATTTAATAAGTTTTGATAAGTTTTTGTTTTCAAGCACAAGGTGCTTGTGAAAGAAAGTTCAAGACTTTGATTCCCAATGGGAGCTAGTTAGTCTGACCTATCCAGCTTATTAAGTCCCATTATGAGAAAAAAAAAAAAAAACCAAAGACTAAAAAAAAATAAAAAGGAATGAAAGCCAGCAAGCTTAATATTTTAACTTGTGTGCACACTTGTGTTTGATTAAAGGATTGGATTGAAGGGTTATCAACTTAAAATACAATATGAAAAAAATTTTTTAAATAAGATATGACATAAGTGCTCTGGTGGCATAGTCCCTAGAGGGTTGTGCTACTAACTCAAAGGTTGCAATACTACAATTCAGATATAGCAGGAGAAGGTCTTTTACCTTTGTGATTTACCATCTTGGAAACCCATCGGAGGCTTGCTGTGAGTGAGAACCCTCTCCATGGCAGTGAGAGTGAGTGGTTAAAGGATTGTGATGAGTATATTTCTTAATAATTACAGGAATTAAGTGGACGGGAAATCTCAGATATACCATTAGATTCTAACTGCTAGGGTAAACGCTATACTATTAACTGGGAGTCTATTGCCAAAGTATCTTTGCAGGTTTGCATGATAATCAAGAAATAATGCACCTTTGTTGATGCTCATTTTGAGTAGGTAGGAAATGTCCTTTAACCACCTCGCTCTCTGGTCTAGAATGTATCTGCTCAGCCAATCAGAATTTACCATATGTGTTATTTCTTTTTCTGTTGGGAATGTGGGCAACTAACTTTACTTAGAAAGGAAATTATATTCCTACTGGACCAAAATTAATTTTCCGTTTTTTAAATGTCTGTCACATTCTGATTATGGTAATCAGGGTTTATATACTTTGTTTCTTTTTTCCATTTAACATTATTTCATTACATATTCCTGTGAATTGACCAAGTCTACCAATATTTTAGTGTTTTATTCTCCTTAACTGTATTTGCTTCATGACTTAATTCTTTGTGACATCTGTATAGTTTTTGGCTATGTGTCTTATAAACAGTGATGTTATAACACCACTGTTATATGTCATGAAATTAAATTCCATTATAATTGGTGAATTACTCTTTCCAACTTTTTAAAATTTTGAAACCACATAAAAGTTGAATGCATATTTTATCTTCACCTAAATCATTATCAATTGCTATCTAGTAGGTTCTGGCTGATGGTGACCTTTGATTCTAGCTCCGGGTAAGTTTGGGTGGCCTTGTGGGTGAAGAGTTGCACTGCCAACCCAAAGACAGGCATACTAATCAACTAGCTTCTCTATAGGAAAAAGATGGGCAGTCTCCTCCCATGCAATTTACAGCCTCTGAAAAACCACTGGAGGGTCAGCTACAAGTCGAGTCTAGCCAGACGGCAATGAGTTAATTCAAAGGTGGTTTGGGGTTGTTGTTGGTTTTATGTTTTTTTGAGGTTTTTACATACTTTAATACAACTCAGAGGAGGCATTGTCACAGAACAGTCAAATGATTCATGACTGGTTAAATAATTTGCCAAAAACCACATAGCTTGTGAGTGTACCTGAGTCAGTTTGCATTTCTAATAGAATGCATTGGTGATGCCTCTCAAGTCCAGATACCAGCATCTAACCACTCGTAGAACCATGATCCAGTTTTCTCATATTGAAACTATATTTTATTATATATTAAATCTTTTTATCTCATTTCTTTTCTTTGATCACAACTTACATGAAAGTTTAGAAAGTTAGTTGGTTTTCTTTTCAACTGCTGATCTTTGGATAGATTACTTTGATTACTGTATCATATTACATGTATCAATGAGTATTCTTATCACTTGTCAGCCAGCATAGTGAAGGAGGATTTGTAAAATACTGGCCATGAAAAGAGAGGTCGTGCCTCACAGAGGTGAGAACTGCTGTTAGCATTTGGTGGGTCCCCTGGCTGCATTCTCCCTTGCCTAGTCAGGGAATTGACCTGGGTGGGAGACAAGAAGAAGCTGGGCACTCTAGAGCCACCAGAGTGTGTGGCAATTTGAGTGGCTCTGAAAAGAGCCTTTGATTATTTGCTTGAAGTAGTCTTTAAACATCTGACTTGCCAAAAGAAAAGCTGAAGCGCAAAGGTGAAGGTAAAACTGATTTATTAGACAAGAGAAGCAGTACATTTCAGATAGAGAGGAAACTCTGAAATAGGTCACCCACCATAGAAAAGAAAAGGGTGGAGTAGACAGCAACTTATGAAGGGGTTAGTTGTATTTATATAGTCTCTTTGAGTGGGATTTATGTAAAAGAGGGCTAATAGTGGACAGACCAGGGAGCTCTGATGTCCTAGTGGTAAGAAGCTGCCCTGCAGTCCCCAAGACACACGGTTCAAATCCACCAACTGGACCATAGGATGAACAGTCTTCTCCAGTGCAATTTACAGCCTCTGAAAACCCACTGGAGGGTCAGCTATGGGTCGGTTCTGGCTCAATGGCACACAACAGCACCAAATGTACAGACCAATGGGATGATGTTGGTAGAGGTTTCTGATCTGGTCTGTGCTCTTGACGTCACTGAATCTTGCAAGCCTAGGTTGCTTCCTTACCACACATGGCTGCTTGCTGAAGCCTTGGCATCTTTTTTCTATGGTAATGCTTATATATTTCTTGGTGCTGATTGGTTAGTCAGATCACAGGCACCCTGTCACTCTCCATTGCCCTTAGCTTGGCTGCCCTGACCCTTTCTTTCTCCTTTCCTTTAGGCGTTTGCCTTAACCTTTCCTCCACCTGATCTCGCCTCACTAATTTTTTTTCCCTCCTTCTTGTGTACCGTCAAATCAGATCCAATTGGTACTGGAGGAGAGATTATCCCACCTTTTCCAGCGGAGCATCTGGTGGATTCAAACCATGTACCTTCAGGATTGCAGTGCTGCTTCTTGCCACTAGGCCACCAGAGCTCCCTTCAACTCCCTAATTTTGTCCTTAGCACTACTTGTCTAAAATCACAAAGAGAAAGAGCCAAAAAGAACTCACTTACGCTGCACCATCCAAAAGGGCTTAGCTTCTGTTCTTACTCAGTGGACATGTGTGTCTAGAGATAACAGTGTGTTGACAGCAATGTCCAGGGTTGAACAATGATAGTTATCATCAGCCCAGCTTACTCTGTTCAGTGTATTTAGAATGCCATGTAAGAATACTACAAAGCAAGCAAGTAGAGCCAGCGGAATCTTAAAGAAAGAAAAAGATTCTAAGAAATACCAACATGCATTCGAGTTGGGAAAAGAAGCGCAAATCACATCTTCCTAGCTAGTGATTGAAAACAATTGACCTTCCTCCTACTTTCCGAGCAAGAGATCAGTTAAGTCCTAATCTGAGTTTGTGTCAGAAGAAAACAGACACAAGTTGTACATGAAAAAAATATTTTGGGAATTTTTTGCTTTGTTTTTTCTGAGGACTGTTGTGTGTCAAATGTTTTAAAAGTAAAAACTTCCCAGCTCTGTGACCCTTCACATAGCATCGCTTTGTGGAGCTCAACTGGAGGGCTTAGTCTCCATGGCATCAGAAAGTTGCTGTAAATTCAAATAAGTTGTCTCCAAACGAACTCCACAGACGTACTGAGAACTTACTCAAAGCTGGAGTAATAAAGGCTTGCGTGG